AATAATAATTACTGAAAATAATATTTAAAATAAAACAAAGAATAAAACGAACTTTTGTTTTTCCCGACATGTTTGTTCGTGCAAGTGAAGCACTAAATTTAACTATTCCGAACGGCAAGTAACTGCATAGTACCGTGTGCGGGAAATAATGTTTATCTAATTAAGTCTCGCGTGGCAAGGGTCAAGTCGCGTGTCGGCGACAGAATTAAAGTGCAATTTCTGCTTCGTGGTAAAATTAAGTTTTCACCTTCTCTCTTGCGCGTCTGCTTAGCATAACCACACGTATTTACATTTATTACGTGGCTTCCCTAATTTATTCCTGTCATTACGTCCCGGCCCATTCTTTTCGTGAGGTTCACTTCGTTTTAAGTCCTAAATTACCAACGCAAAATTTCCAGCACGAAAAGCGTAACGTGAGGTCATATATCTTGACACATTCTAAAAAAATAAAGAATTTTAAGACAAAAAAATCTTTTTTAAGAAAAAAAAATCACACGAAGTTGAATAAAATAACAGGAATAGAAGCCATTCTATTCTTATAATTGAAATAATTAAAAATAGATAAAATAATGGCACTAAAGATTATTTGACAATGAATCTATACATATAAGATAAATAATAATTTATATATTTAATTTACGTGTTTTAAATATAAAATAATTAATAACAATACAAGAAAAATAATAAAGCTCGTTTTTTTAAAGCTTCTTTTACTTATAGTTTACATTTTTACTAAAGTACAATAGAAACAAAAAACCTTTTGCTTCTAGAATTTCTTATCAAGACACAAACGGAATCGTGAAATTAAAATTAAATTTACTGTATTTGATTCACCAAATTTTGAAATATTACGTCATCAATGGAGAAATTACCGTGACAATTGATGTCCTTAATAACGCATTAGCGACCTAATTAATACCTCGCCGAAACTAATTTAATGGGGCTTGTTCCATGATGTTCGCGTAATATTGCTCAGGAAATGTATAGGTAAGAGAGAGAGTGGGAGGAAAGGAGAGGGAGAGGGGAAGGGGGAAAGGGGGGGGGGAGAGAGAGAGAGAGAGAGAGAGAGAGAGAGAGAGAGAAGGAAGAGGAAACGGTGGTTTCAGTTCAGGTTTCTGTTCGGGAAATAGCTTCCGATTTCGGAAATTGCCGGGCGGGATATTGGTTCTCTCTTCTCGTCGATAATATTTACGATACCTTCCGCTTTCCGTATGTGGATCTTACTCGGATCCATTAGGTGATGCTTTCGATACATATAACGTTGCAATGTATGATGCAATAACTGTTTCATTGAGAATTCCGCTTTATAAAACAGATTTATGAATGAAGATGAAGTTACTATAATTTTCGTTCACGCAACTTTTCTATGTCATTTCGTTTAGACTTTATATAGTATCTTTATAATTTATGATTTTATATATATATATA